GACCCACGTAGGGGGTGTCAATATGAGACAAAATGACGTCAAAGTGTGTGGAATTGAATTGCTACTATAGGGATTCTCGAACTTGAGAGAAGCATGAGGGCATCAAAATCTACCAACTTGTACTACCTCATAGGGAGTGTTAGACATACGAGATATGTAAGGGCATTGTAGCATGCTGACTTAAAGTACTCATAGAGCGTTTGACACAAAAGAAACCGACTTGAAGTACTCATACAGTATTTAACACAAAAGAAACGATTACACAAGGGCATGCCAACTTTAGTTGATGCATAAGAAGTTTTGAATATAGAAGACATATATGGGTACTATGGCATGCTTACTAAACTCTACATAGGGAGTGTCAGATGTAAAAGATATACTAAAGTGTTAGTGTGTGCCAACTTATATTGCTTATGTAGGGAGTATCAAAAGCTACAAACACAGGAGAGCATCAAGATAGCTAATTTGAACTATCCACGTAAAGAATTTCAAATGCAAGAGACAAACGAAGAAATTGCGGTTGCTTGGATTTAGTTATAGCGACTATGTTGAAAATCTAATAAATAGATATGTCACGACCATCTTGAAAATTTAGTAGACTTGGGATGTTATGGCTGACCTAATGATATAGCTAGCAGAGATGTCAAAGCCATCTTGAGATTGCAGCGGTAGAGATGTTGCAATCGACTTCATGTCATAACAAATAGAAACATCATAGCATGCTTGTAGTTATGGTGAGTGGAGACACATGACCAACTTGAAGATAATGGTATAACATGCCCATGGCTGGACTAGATGTCACCTATAGAGTTTTGATTGGTTTCAATTCTAACTATATCATTTGTCCCCATGGATCATAATTTCAAACTCAAAAACTCAACAATATTTAATTGCATCAAGAAATAATTTACTCCACTTTCTTTGCCCACGTCAAGAGCATAGATATAGAGATGCTCGAGAGTGTAAGTGGCCAACTTCAACTACGTGCAAGAGAGGATCGAATGTAAGAGACATGCTCGGGCATCAAGCATGCTTGTTTACTCACCCTCAACTGTGAGCCTTCACTACCCATAGCCTCAATTACTTGCTTCTTCACTTCCATCGTTGCTTCCTTACTTATTAAGAGTACTCATATAGAGAACTTAATATTGTCCTTGTCCAATGATCATTTTACTATTGTTTGGGTATGACGGTACTATCACTTAGGTTTACTTTAGACCACTAGTTTGGCCTTTTAATAGATCCAATTTAGCCCAGCTTTAAGCTCAATGACTTTCTTGACAAGTTAACATTGTTTCGGCTCAATACCAACTTATATTGATCTAAACTGATATCGATCAACACTTTGACAAATCAATCACATATTCGACACATTTACACAGCTTTTAGCATATTGTACACTCGTTCAACATGTCATTCGATTTTCTAACATATCACACTTTTCTTCGACATATCGCTATTCCACCGACATGTCGACTTTCTCACGACATCTAATCTTTCGACGCAATATCCGATCCTTCCAGCATAATGCCCAAACCTATAGTATAAAATCTAATCTTTAGCACATCGATCAATCCTTCAACTCGATGTCCAATTTTTAACGCGATAATTTTTTGATGTAATATTCAACTCTCCTGCTCGATAGTTGGCCCTTCGATGGTCCTAGTTCATGATCAAAATATTTCCTATATCACTTATCTCAAAAGTATATTACTCCAATAAACTCATTAATTGATTTCATCATCAAAATCCAAGATTCAACATTGTCCTCATCCAACGATTATTTTACTTTCCTTTAAGCCCTCATCATTTGAACTCCTATTAATACTATCAAATGTAGGAGAACTCCTATTAATACTATCAAATGTAGGAGAGGCACGAGGGTATTTGGCAAATCGACTTGAATAACCAACATACGAGGTATTAAATGCAAAATATGTGGGAGAGTGTCGGAGTATGCTGACTTAAACTATCTCTATATTGGCAAAATATACACAGTACACACACGAGAGTGTTGAGTGCATTCAAATTGGCAGAATTAAACTATCTATTTATGAAATGTTGGACACAGTACACACACGAGAGTGTTGAGTGCCATCTTTAACTGCCTCCTATGAAGTGTTAGATATAGGATGCATTCAAGGGCATTAGGGCATGTTGACTAGACTTGCTCATGTAGAAAATGTTGGACATAAGTGTCAAGGCATGTGAACTTCAATTATCCAATTGAGAATATTAGAAGTTTGAAACATGCGAGCCTATCAGGATATGTCAACTTGAACTACTTACGTAGGAAGTATCAAATACATAAGACACATGAGTATAGCGGGGCTGCTAGATGGAGAAGCTAAGGCTATCTTGAAGATACAACAGGTAGAGATGTAAGATATAGCAGACTTAGGACATTGTGGCCAAACTTGATGATGCAACGAGCTCAGAAATGTCTCAAAATTATGATGGATGGAGAAATGACAAGTGTAGTGAAGATGTGGTGAACTTATACGTCACAACCAACCTGATGTTGTTGTAGGGAGTGAAGACATCACGGTTGTCTTGAAGTTGTCGATAGAGACATCGCAATCGACTTGATGTTGTAGTTAACAAAAACATCATGGTAGTCTTGAAGTTGTGGTAGGCAGAGAGGTGGTGACTAAATTAAGGATGTGGCGGACTGAAATGTCATAGCCAAACTTGATGTTGCAATTAGCGAAGACATCATAACCATCTTGAAGATGTAGCGGGCAGATATACCACACTTGCAACGAGCGAGGACGTCATGGCAGTGTGAAGTAGTGATGAATAGAGATGTTCCAGTGAGTGGAGTCGTGGCGACCATCCTGAAGATGTGGTGAATGAAGACATCATAGCCATCTTAAAGTTGTGGCGAGTTTGGGCTATCTTGAAGTTACGATAGACCTATGGATGAAATTGCAAGCAATGATCAAGGCCATAGGAGTTGGATGAAGTCATCGACAATCGGTCAAGGTCATGGACGATGGATGAAGTATAGACTACAACCATGGCCACAGATGACCGATGTCGTTGTAGATAATGGTCAAGATCCTGACAATCGAAGAAGTCACAAATGGGAGATGACATTGCAGACGATGACTGGACCTGCTAATGATGCAGGAGGATGCTACCACCATGACCAATCTGTGGAGCTCAAGCATCAGCCTAACCCGGAGAGTTGAGTGGTATGTGCCTATTTGCGGGGACCCTCCTTCTATAAGTCTCGAGCTTGGGGTATCAACAAGGAATATTTCGCTTTAGATGTCATGCATATTCAGCATGCTTAGATGGTATTATGTCATCGTTAGGCTTACTCGATGGACTAGATGTCATATGTTAAGTTTTGATCGACTGTCAATTCTAATTATATTATTTGCCCCTATATTATGCTTTAGGGAAAAGGCTTGGTAGTGTGTGATCACAATGTAAGAGATATCCGAGGGTGTTCATGTGTGCTAACTTGAATTACTTATACAAAAGTGTCAATTATATAAGATTCATGAGTGTATCAAGACGTATCAACTTTAATTAACATGTAAGGAGTTTTAAATGCAATTTGTGTCAATTTGAATTGCTCATAAAAGTTGTATCGAACACAAGTGATGCATGAGGGCGATCGATCATACTGAGTTAAACTATAGTGTCAAACACGAGATTGGTAAGGGCATCGAGACCTCGATAATTAGTTGCTTTAAAAAATGACTAAATAATATTTTAGATATTTTTTTCATCCTAAATGAATGCATCGGGCATAAGGGAATACTTTGGCCATATAGATGCTTTGAATGCTCTTTTACCTAAGCGAACATGCCATGCACAAGAGGGATGCTTTGAATCATGTGAGACGTATGCGTTGTATCCAAGAGAAATATTTTAGATCACATCAAATATTTTTGTCTTGGATACATGCATCATATTCAATAGGGACACTTTAGCTTGTATCCAATATCTCATTTAATTTTTTGTCATAGATGAATATATTATGCACAAAGGGAAAGTTTTCAACTACGTCTTTTGTGTATTGGTGTTTTTGATTTAACACAAGTGAAAATATAATAACATGATGGTAATAACATGATAGCCAACTTGATTTCAAGCTAACATAAATATAAAAATGGTATATTTGTGCCCTCTCATTATATATTAAAATCCAGGGTGTCCTCATTTACAGCAATGCATTCGTTTAGGATAAAAAATAATTAAAATTCCTGATACGTTCAATTAGGTCTTGTATGGGATGAGATGCACTTTTGACAATTTTGACAAAGGTGGGATGTGGGATATGTATGTAAGTAACATTGACCATCCCGATGCAAAGTTATATTGAGAGGGTCTATCGACGGTAAATTCACCGTCGGGTATTCTTAAACAAGGAAGCCACTATAAATATGAACCCTGTCAACCCAACGAGTTCTCATCTCATATTGTTAAAGCCGCTTTTGTAAGTTTCTCCCTCCCTCTTTGCTCGACCAAACCGCTTTTTTTCTCTCAAGGTATGTCTTCTTCCCTTTCATCTTTTCTTGTAATTCTCTTTAATTCCTCTTGTTTATTTCTTGCTTTGGATATTATTGTGTGGGCTACAACGTTTCTTTCTTGATGCTTTGGTGTTCTTGGCACCTTTGCAACTTCTTTTAGGGATTCGTCATTGATTTGATTCCTTTGGGGGAAGAGTACGCTTGATTTATCTCGACGTTTCTACCTTTGATCTACAAAATATATTGTTTGGTTTTGATTATTCTAGAGTAATAACATGCTTTGCATCATCTGCTCCTTAATGGATCTTTGTTGGTGGCATAGATGCGGAACCCTTCATCATAAAATATTTGTGCTTTTATATGAGCTTTATGTTGGATTGCTAGATTTTACCTTAACTTGTGTCTGCATCATTGATCAGTGGTCTAATTTGTTCCTGGATTTCTTAGTTATATTTCTAATTCATGATCTATTCGGCCGTATGCTAATTCATTTTTATTATTTTATTCAGATGCAGATATTTGTTAAGACACTAACCGGCAAGACCATCACCCTTGAGGTTGAATCTTCTGACACTATTGATAATGTAAAGGCCAAGATTCAAGACAAGGAGGGCATCCCCCCAGACCAACAGAGGTTGATCTT